TCTGGGCTGCGGGGCTCAGAGTTTTCAGCATCAGGGATTGACGGTTCAGGGTTCAGTTGTTAGGGGCTTCGAGTTTAGGGGTTCTCGCTTTCTGCTTTTGGGGCTGAGGGTTTAGGGGCGCAGGGAGCTCCATGCTGCCGAAAGAGTTCTTCTCTTAAGCGTGGAACCCTAAACTCTAAACCGTAAACTCCGTAAACCTTAAGCTTTACAAAAAGGCAACCTTAAGGTGGTACGCTCTGAAGTTCCGGCTTTCGGGTTTCTGAAGGTTCGGCTTCAGACTCTTTTGGGGCTTCGGTGTGCTTTGTTGGTTTGTACCTTTTTTGAGACTTGATGGGGTTCAGGGTTTAGGGTTTTTCGTTCTGTGGGTCACCCGGACCTTGGTTTGGGGTTTGAAACGCCCAAAGTCTCAAAAACACGACTGCAGCTCTGCAACCCCGATCTCCGACACCGGTGACCTTTGCACCGTACGTAAACTCCAAAGGCCCAGAAGCTCTCGGGGGAATCGCTAGCTCGTCAAGTGCTTGCCGGAGGGTTTAGAGAGTTTAGGGTGTAGGGTTTACCCTAAACCCTAAACCCTAAACCTTAAACCCTAAACCCTAAACCCTAAACCCTAAACCCGAAGCTGAGTAAAATACTTCGATGACGGAGTGTATGGAGCGAGCTGGAGGCCGCATTGCGAAAGGCTCACCACACTTCAAAAAAACCCCTAAGCAGGGGTTTAGGGGTTTAGGGTTTAGGGTGTTCTAAAGGGCAGGTGCAGCACTGCTTGCAGCTTTCCACAAGTACAACCCGACTATCGAGATCTGAATACTCAACACTAGCCCTTCTTGTACCACTCTTCTATTCTACTCGGACTCGTAGTATATACAATGTGCCTCAGCAGCCTCTTCGAACAACTAACGTCCCCATATTGCCCGACACCAAAAAAGTCTTCCAAGGATGAGACAACCTGTGCTTCCCGCGAGGGTTGACTGAACCTTACACACCTTTACACCCTCACCCTATACCCTAAACCCTGAACCCTAAACCCTGAACCCTAAACCCTAAACCCTAAACCCTAAACTCTAGCCCTAGACCCTAAACCCTAAACCCTAAACCCTAAACCCCAGGCCCGAAATTCCAATGGCAAGCTGTACTTGGCTGCTCCCACAACCCTGGTACCGCCTGAACCCCAACCCAACGCTTTCTCAACCCTAAACATGACATCCTAAGCCTGAACTCCTAAAACCCTGAGCCTTAAGGCCTACGCACCCTAAACACCCTATCATAGGGGCCTAAATAAATGCCCATACGACTTTGCGGGTTCCTTATTGTGATGATAGTATAATGGACTCCGAAACCCTATTCTAATTCTTGGGGCCCCGATGTTAGGCAGCCGAAGCCTGACATTGACGGAAGCAAGGAGGCAACGATCCCCCGACACTTCTTTGTCCCCGCGGCTGCCAGGGTTCCTTGGTTGCAGGGCCTCATCCCAAAGCCTGTCGTGGAAGAGGAAATAAAGGTGTAGTTTAGGTGTTGGGTTTTGGGTTTGGGGGTTTAGGGGTTGAGGTTTAGGGCTCAGGGGTTTAATTTTCGGGTGAAGGGGTTGAGGGCGTTTGGGGCTTTGGGTTTAAGGGCGTAGAGGCGACAAAATGGGATCGTCCTTTCGTCACAGTGCTGCTGCCAGGTACTTGATCATCACTTGATCTACAGGAAGCCATCTTGGGGAATCTCTTTGCTTTTTGTGAGAATGGTTAAGCGCACGGCGCTGGAGCATCATCTCATATCGTAGCCATACGGAGAATATGAGAAAACAGTGTAACTTCATGGGCGTGCTGAAGGGCAAACTCTCAATGCTTGAGGCCCTAAACCCTAAACGCTAAACCCTGGGCTCAGGGATCAGGGTTGCAATTTGAAACTCCCACAGGCGCTCAGGGTAACTGAACGCGGAGCTCACGACTCGTTCAGAATGGGTTTAGGGTTAAGGGTTTAGAGGGATTCTGAACATGTCTTGATGTAGAAAGTTACATTGGTGGCTGCAAAAAAGACCTTAAGCCCTAAACCCTGAACCCTACACCTACCTTGATGAAAAACAAGGTGCACACACACACACACACACACGCACCACGCATACAACCCTATAGAAATCCGTATAAAAGCCCAATGGAATCTCAAAACTTATAAAACGAAACCTACAAAAAGCCTATGGTAACCTTGTAAAACCGGTCTAGAACCATACACAAACGTGGCTCCGTCTCAAGCCGTATAAATTCTGTATAGCACCATAAAGACTGTGAAGTACCCGGACACTCTAAAGTCTCCGGGCCATTGCGTTCCAGGAAGCCACCCGCCAACGCACCGAATCGCGAGGCTAACGAGCGGCGGTTTGGGGTCTTCTAGTTGTTGTGTACGGTTTTGTACAGAGGTTGACATAGGATACAGGGCTCTGCACGTCTGAGTCCTTAGGTTTGCACTACGCCCCGAAGCGCCAGGCACGTCCGTCCACGCGGCCGCGCAGCCTCTCTCCTGAGATATCGAAGCGGGCATCGTGGCTTTGACGACGGGCGCCATCTCGTAGCCATGATGCTTGTGGTATTGCGCCCGGGCAGCCCAATATTCTGTGAGTCGGTCAATGAGGACGTTCCTGAGACTGCATAGGGATCGTTGCTATAATGCAAGGAAATTTATACAGTTCTGTGCTCCCTGACAGAAGCGTGACGGGTTTGAAGTCCACATCTCCATGAGGGAGTTTCAGAAAATTAGGGGTACCTTATTTTGGGGTCCTTATAATAGGGATCCTATTATTTGGGGTACTATATTAGGATCCCCTATTTTGGGAAACCCCCATGACTGTTAATCCCGTTATTTCGATTTCCCAAAACGAGACGCATCCCTTCAACCCGGAAACCGGTATTACCCCTGCACCCAAACGAAGCCATCCTGTATGATAGACCTTTGCCCTTTAGTGCAGCAAAACCTTGGACCCCGAAACCCAAAACCTTCCATAGTTCCCATAAAACTTTAAACCCAAATCTTCATAGTTCCCATAAAACTTTAAACCCTAAGCCCTAAACGCTAACCCTAAATCTTTGAAACCTCCTGTCCCCCCAAACACGAACACAACACAGGTACCCCGGAACATTTATCTACATCCCTTGACAGAATCGGGCCAGGTTTGATGTAGAAGGCGGCAAGGAACTGCACACAAAGATGAATCCGAAACTCAGAACTCCGAAGCTCTTGACACCTCAGTATTGGCTTGATCTGCCCCACGCAGTATACCTGGGGGGTGGGGAAAGTAGATTTCTGGCTGCTGAAGATTACTAGGGTTAAGGGTTTGAAGGATTCAATCTTAGGGTGTCGTGGGCCTCCCAGGCAGCCCTGAAACTAAAGCTTCGATTTATACTGGGCTCTCTGGGGCATGTCCCGAGTTGCTGGATAATGACGCAAACTAAGGGTTGAGGCTTTGGGGTTTGAGCGGTTTAGGGTTTAGGGTTTAGGGTTTAGGGTTTAGGGTTCAGGGTTTAGGGTTTAGGGTTTAGGGTTTCTTGCGATGAGCGACGATCTGCTTCAAAGACGAGCAGCCAGAGATTTCGCTCTCACGGCATGCAGTGGACAATGGAAAAGCTCGACATTGGCAGCCGAAATGTTGAAACAGCATTAGCTAAAGGGGCCTTAATGACTGCCTATATCATTTTGGGGGTTCCTTTTCAGAATGACAGTATAACATGCCCCAAAACCCTATTCAAATTATTAATATTAAGGCTCCTATGTTAGCTATCTACCATTCGACTCGCCCTAAACCCTATTTGTAAACCGAACTGCGCATTCAGTTGGCAGTAGCAGCCTATTCGTGCACAAGCGCGTTCAGAAGTGCAAGCTATGGAAATCGCACTGTGCAGAAGCGACAGAAACACGCTAACGTCGCTTGCGCCTCGGTCTCTAGCGAATGTATGTCTCTCCAAACACGACAAAGATGAAATCTCGGGTGACATGGCAACCCAGCACGATGTTCGTGTTGTCATATTGTCACCATCGCTGATACTTGTAAGACTCTTCTCGAATCATGCTCATATGGGTGGTTGTCAAAATTAGGGTCCCTTTTTGTGTCCTTATTATAATACGGCACCTATTATTTAGGGTACCCCAAAAGGGACCATAATTTTGACAGCTACCCATCTTAAACCCTACACCCCAAACCCTCGGCTTCTATCCTTTTGGGTCTTGAGAACCTGAACGTGTCTGGTTGGGGCTGAAGGGGTTCTTACAGTGTAGGGTTCACAAAGCCGGGCCCCAAGGCCCTAAACTCCCTGCCTCCATAACATAGGCGTTTTCCATAAGATAGGCGCCTTAATAATTACCGAAAATATTTTGGGGGCTCCTTATTAAAAATATTTTATAATGGGTCCCAAAACCCTATTCTAATTATTAAGTAAGGTCCTTATACTACCCTCCAGAAAAAGGGTCGGAGCACAGCCAGCCCTCCGACTTTCCCGAAGGAGAAAAGAATGCATGATTGTGCGACCCAAACCAAATTCGATCGCCCAAGCCTCAAAACCCTGAACCCTTAGAGATCGTGCAACCGCCCCGAAGAGGTCAGGTTGGGGGAGATTGCGTTTGTCTGGAGGTCTGGGGCGGGTTAATAGTACTATTATATTAGTACTATTGTCATTAATAGCATCAATTTCGTTATTATTTTATTTGTAGTAGTATTAGTGATAAGTGGCACACCACCGTGTCCATCATGCCAGCCAAGGCCTGAAGATGCATGGCAGGGCCGCAAACAGCATTTCACTTTCGAACCCGCCTGTTTTGGGGATCTTGATAAAGGAGAAGATGCTTGATATACCTGTTGGTATAGTGTTGGACACAGTTCCAAATTTTCCTATTGGCTGCATTGCCAGTAGCTGCAACAAGTCGTTGGCAAGCATGCTGGACTCTACATTCATATTTATATTGCATGTGCATACACATGCCGTGCGGAGTATGTAGGCCTACATACACCTGATCGTTGCTTTGCCATGGATCTGGATGCGTGCAAGATGCTGTCCAATACGAACATCCGCGAGGACGATGCGGACTTCTTTTCGGGCACTGGCGAGGTGGCATGGGACGAGGTGGAGGAGGAAGCTGAGATATGTTTCGAAGAGGAATCCGATGTGACGGATGAAGCAGAGCCAGCAGAACCCCCATCAAAGAGGGCCAGGTTGACCCAAGAAGTCAATGGAGCTGGTAGAGTCGTCTCGGACGCGGTCGAGCAAGATGCCGAGATCTTTTTCGAAGAGGAATCCGACATGTCGGATGATGCGGACGGCACGCATGCTCCATCAAAGAGAGCCAGATCAGCCCAGGAGATCAATCTCCCGGAGAGGCGCAGCAAAGAGTCCCTTGCAACACAGGTGGTGAGAGCCCTGAAGGATGTCCCGACGCCGGATCTCCGGGTGATTCAAAGCTGCATCCACGGCTTGCCGTCCGAGCTCCGTTTGTTCCCCCGGTGCATCTCATATTGCTACTTTTGGATGATGGATGGAAGGCGAAGATGTGGGAAGAGCTGCAAGTATCTTCACAGCAAGTTGCCACAAGGGTCCATTGCAAAGAGCATGGTTGACAAGAGTTTGGGCCACTTTGCGATTGAAGACGCTTCCAAACAAGTCTCCAACTGGGTGTTGTGTGATGTCGCTTCGGACCTGGAGGAGCAAAGATGCTTTGTGCTGGATGGAGCCAAGGGAGCTACCATCACCAGTTTGCAAAGACCGCGGGACAAGGTTTTAAGTCCAAACGTAGATGCAGATGCTGTGACTTGTCTGTCGGCTTTCAGGACTTGAAGTTTTGGGTTTTTGATACCATCTATACATGTATAAAAAAATATGCATACAGCTTAGGAGGTTTGTGTCATCTGAAAACTAGGGGTTCAAAATTTCAGCCAAGGTGAAGGCACTGCAGGCCAAGAGCTTGAGTGTGTACTCGTCCAGCTTCGCAGCATTGGCTGTGGCCTCGCAGGCGAAAGTTGAATTCGGATGTGTCTACCTTGACTACATGTGGCCTTTGAATTATTTCGAGAGCACCCAGCGGGAGGTGCAGAACCGTCTACGCAAACAGTCCGACATTGCTGCAAGATCCGACCGCCTTGCAGCGTGCAACGAGTACATCACTGCCTCTCTGACAGATGGTATTCATGATGTGGAACTCTTGGTTCTGGATCCTGGGCACAGTTTCTAGGTTCTTTTTAAGAGAACTTCAGCAGTTACAATAACGGAAACCGCATTATTTACCATGGGTCCCTACTGGCGTAACTAGACCTAAATTCCTGAACAAGAACCCAGGTTTGTTAAGCCGAAGTGGCGCGGTCTTGGCCGTGACCATGGTTCACTCGCAGAAATCCACGCTGCGCGCGCAGCGAGCGCGCCTGGAGCGTGTGTTGGTCGAAGGAGCAAGACTGCATCAGGTCTCTTTGGACTTCATGGGGTGACTCAACCCGTTATAAGGGTTCTGCACGGAGTTTGTCAGGTTGTTATGCAAGATAAGGGGGACTTAGTACTTGAGTCTGCAAGCTTTAAGCCGCGCCAGTTTGGATACGTTCTTATTGGGCCAGTGAAGTGGGCAACGAAGGTACACAAAGCCGAGCAGCCGACCCGTGGCAACCTATTTCTACGGTTGGAATCTTTATTCCAAACTTGCCTTGCTCCCGAATGTGTCGAAGAAATTAAAAAAGCACTGCTTCTTCAACGACAGCTGCAACCTTTACTCTCCACAGAGCGGTTCCAAGAGGCGGCCGCGACCATTTGCTCCCAGAAGACGGCGAAAAGGCTTCACATAAGAAGATAAAATACGCAGATATGATAAGTCTTATAAATTAAATAAAAGATATAGAATCGCCTCATCAATAGGCTTCCCTTCCCCCCGAATAATTGTGCAAAATCGCTTAGCCTACCGCCCCCCACAGATAAAAATAATATCGATTATATTGAGGATAATAATAGATATGCTGGAATTATTAATTTTATCATTATATATATATTATTATGATTTTAGCTGCCGCATATTTAATTTTTTTTAAATATATTAAAATTCTATTTTGATTTGGTAATTTGGGAAAATTGCTATATTTTTGAATAATATATGAGGTTTTGATTGATTAGATAAATAAATAAAGAATTTAGATATATATGAATTTTATTTATGATTCTATTATATGGGTATATAAAGATTTTTGATTTTTAATTTCGAAGAGGTCTAGATTTAGATTTATCAAAATTTCGATTATATTTATATGAACTATTTCTATTATCTCTTTTTAGGTTATGATTAGAATAAGGATAAAATTATATTTAGAATAAAGAAATTAAATTAAGAATATAAATGAATAAAATTTAGAATATGATCATAATAAAATTAAATAAAATAATTCAGAATGAATTTCTATTGATTTTATATTAGAATTAAATGGAATTATAATTATATTGAATTATTCTTTCTACGTCGTATCGGAGCGAGAATTCGGGAATAGGATAAAGATTAAATTATAGAAATTAAGTTAAGAATATGGACGGGGGGAATAAGGGAATTAAATTTAGAAATAAATTTAGGATATTGGTTAAATAAATTTTTGCTGTTTTTTTATTGAAATAAATTCATATATGATTCATAAATATGATTAGATTAGAATAATTAAATAATACGAATAGAAGAAGGGAATTAAATTTAGAATAAGAATAGAATAAGATTAGAATAAATAATTGCAATTAAGAATATGAGTCAAATAAATCTCTACTGAGATTATATTAGAATAAAGAACTATATATATAATTCAGAAATAGAATCAGAATTATATTGAATTATTTCTTCTATTTCTTTTCGAAATGATATCTCGAGAAAAGAATAAGAGAGAAAAAAAAAAATGATTGGAATAGAGAAATTAAGCTAGGAATAACGAAATGAAATTAGAATATAAAAATTATATAAAGAGCGTAGATCAAATAAATATCTGCTAATAATATATTCGAATAAAGATATATATATATATATATTTAATGAATAGAATTATATTTCTATTGAATTATTTCTTTTATTTTCTTTCGGAGCGAGATCCCGGGAATCAAGCTAAGAAGAAGGATAAAATAATGATAAAATAAGGATTGGACTAAAGAAATTAAAATAAAATCAAATTCAGAATAAAAAAATTAAGCATAGAATAAAAAATATAAGATTAGAATATAGAAATTAATTTACAACTGATATTATATCAAAAAAATATATATATATGATTCAGCATTTCCTCAATTATATTGAAGGATTTCTTTTTCTTTTCAGAACGAGAATTCGGAAGTGCACGGAAAATATGGTTTATTAGATTTCAAATATTAATTTATTTGATTATTTCGTTCATGAATTATTTGATATATAACCACGACAAAATCTAGAATTAGATAAAATCTAAAATCAAATCTTCCCATAGATATTATTCGATAAATATAATCAATCTTATTTCTGCACCCATATTCTCCAATTAATTGATGCTTGGATCCTACCGCCCTCTGCCTTAATAATAAATCGACTTCTACCAGAAATTAAATATTTATTAAATCTTTAACAAATCCTTATTTTTTTAATCCTAAATCGAAGATATAAAATCTTAAATAATTTTTATTCCAGAATTTTTCGAGAAGACGAGAATATAGATTTTTATAATTTTATTTAGAAATAAAAAAAAAAGAATTTCTAGAATCAAAGATATCTTCTAGACTCTTCAATTTCATCATCAGAATTAAGATATAAAATTTTTAATTCAATATTAAATTAGATTTCAAAATGAAGCTTAAATATAAATTGAATTTTTTTAAATTGAGAAATTTT